AAGTGCAATTTCCACTTTATTATATTCATTTTGAAATCATACAAAAAATTAAACAAATTCAAAACGATTTATTGGCTGAAAGAACAGTAAACGGTGTAAAATGTGAGTAATTTCCATCTATTTTTGTCAAGAAATTTTGCGGGATATTTAAAAATTATGCAACACAATTATTGGTTCTTGTCAGTTTTTCGTCGTACTCACCATACCCCCGCGCTTTCTCGTGGCAACAGAAGCTTTCTATCGTTAGGCGCTTCGAATTTTTCGTTAAAATCATCCTCTTCAGACTCAGAATCTTTACTTGAATCATCACTTGTTTCGCCTCGATCCCTCTTGTTCGGCACAAACATGTACGGTTCATGCAATAATCTGTCGAGACTTATTTCCTAGCTCAATTGTTTTGAAGTTTTCGTTGCTTGCCATATTGAAATCGTATTGCGCGAAGACAACAACCCGGTTGTGCCGTTGTGACGTCACAAAAAATCTTAGAATTAAATTTCTTAAATTGCTTTACTTTAGTAACTTTACTATCTTGTTCGTAACTTGTAATGGGATATTAACCATTTGTGTTTCGCTAAAATATCACATACAGGTATACCGCGCTTAAAGCACCAACTTTCCATAAGTTGGTTATATGCGGCCCAAGTGAGGCTGATGGTTACGGTGCGATTGTTTTGTATTTTTAAAGAACTGGGGCCGGTTGTATCAAGCCCGTTTAGCTTAAACGGCGGATAAGTTCAAAATAGAAAGCAAGTCTGCCGTTTTATTCAAGAAACGAACTAAATATTTTTAATTTAACCTTTATACAAAGATACTGTTTACAACATACATATTCCGTGCATAATATTCAAGTTGACTCATTCAAGAGAGATGTAAGAGTGTTATTTAATTTTGACTTACTCCTAAAGTCAAAGTAAAGTACAAGAATTAACAATGCATTTCAAAATAGGTTTAAAAGAAAAAAAGTACAGGAATTAAGAATAGCCGAATTCATGTGCTGATATGTCAGAAATTCGTTTGTTTTAATTATTATAACTTTATTGGGATACATTAACAATAACAATAACGGTGATACCCAAAAAGAAAAGTGCGAACAGGACAGGAAAAACCCATGCGAGGCACCATGCGAGGCATTGTAACGTGTTAATATAAAACAGACTGCTTCCGGACAGTATATGGTAATACAAGACGCTCAGGTTAGTATGAGCGTACAACCGAATAGCCTGCAACGCAGACTATATATTGGGTATATATACCCCAATATATAGTCTGCGTTGCAGGCTAACAACCGAAGTGAGAAGGCTGCACGTGTAAAGCTGAAAGAATATATATATAATTGTAAACTGTGTGTGCGTCCATTCTTGTTAATTCGGCACGTTACAGCATTACAATTACAATTTACATTACATAGATAACTATTGTTGTGGTAAAGCTTGATTTGCGCAATAACCACATGCAGAGTTTTCAAATACATAAATGACAGAAATTAGAAAATTGTTCGGAAAAGAAAAGTAACTTGGTTTGAACGCATTCATGCGACCTAGGCAAACACAAAACGAACTTTACCTAAATCAAAGAAATTTACATTCTAAGTTCTGTGACATGGGCACTCACGAACAAAAGACCAGGTACATGGCATGTCTGAGTTAAAAACAGAGTCTGACGAAGCCGTCTGACGAAGAAAGTTCTTAAAACTAGATAAACGGTCAAAAGGCTATTATATAGGTCAAGGCTATTATATAGGTCAAAGTTCACCTACTTTTGATCTTAGGATCCATCTTGTCGCGCGTCGTTGTATTCTTTCGATCTTGACCTTGAGGGAAACATTGGATGGAGACCAGATTTCAGTACCATAGCATAACTGCGACTTTACAAGCGATATATATAATGAACGCCGGATTTTGGTTGCCGACAGTAAAGGATAAGTTCTTTTTAGGAGGCCAAGCATCTTGTTAGCTTTACCTGTCATCATTTGAATTTGAGTGTTCCACAAGAACTTGTCCGTCACGATGACACCGAGATCTTTCTCTTTCCGGACACGAAGCAGCGAGGATGGACCCAAATGATAGTTGTAAGTAACAGGATTTTTCTTTCGAGATAAGGTCAAAACCTTACATTTCGATGCATTGAACTTGATGTTATTATCGTGGCTTCATGTGTTGAGGTTGGTCAAGGATTTTTGTAGACACTTACTGTCAGTCGTAGAGTTAAAATTTCTACTTTGTATCATCAGCGTACATATAGCTTCCGAACAACCATCAGATATTACTTCTGGAAAATTGTTTATGAAAATAGCAAAAAGTATCGGACCCAGGATACTTCCTTGAGGCACGCAGGAAATAACAGGAACCCAGCTTGATGGGACACCTTCGACAACAACTCTGGGTAGATTGGGTACGTCCGCCTAAATAATCACGAAACTAGTCGAAAAGACGCCCTATAAACCCAAATATCTTGAGTCTTCTTAAGAGTACTTGATGATCTACAGAGTCAAAAGCTTTGGCAAAGTCAAGGCAAATTATATAAGACTGAATGTTTTTGTCAAGACGCTGACCAACAGAGTGAAAAACCTGGACAAGCTGAGTGATGCACGAACGATTTCTAAGAAAACCGTGTTGTGATGAGGTGGATGACGTGATCGTATAATCTCCTGGCAACACAACGTTCCAAAACTTTGCTGATGATAGGCAGAATAGAAATCGGTCTGTAGTTTTCAACGCCATCAACGGGTTCTTTAAGGTCTTTCTTGTGAATGGGTGTAATATCAGCTGATTTCTATTCAGAAGGAAGACGCCCGGTGCGTAGCGAATGATTGAATAAGTCACAAATGCTCGGAGCGATTTGGTTGCTACATTCCCTTAAAATTCTTGCTGGAATGCCAACAGGGCCGCTTGCCTTAGAGAAGTCCAGATAATATAGACACACAGCAACTTCTTCCTCCGTTAACGTTATATCAGATATTTGAGCTTTAGAATCAAAAGAGTCTGGGTTATTGTCAGTGTCAGTGGTAGATTTTGAGGGTACAAACACAGATGAGAAGTATGAATTACAAAGTTCAGCTTTCTCTGCCGGAGTTTTGGCCGTAACATCTTTGTAAGTATAACTGTCGAGTTATGTTGTTCTTTGTGTGGTGTAGAATATAGCTTTATGGTAGCTCCAGAAAATCTTCGGGGTTTTGCTGTACGAGCTTTCAACTCTTTTTAGGTATTAGGTTTTCTTCTGATCAAACTCTTGAGGTTTTGACTTACAGAACGCAACTTTTGTTTACGGATGACAGTTCTATATTCTGGCGAAATTTCTTCAGTGCAACGTATTTCTTAGCAGGGTTGGTAAGTTACTGAATAAATAAGCCAAACATTGTTATTGGCGGCCCTTTGATTCCTTTGTTTTAAACAAAGAAAACAAATGTTATGTTAATATATTTGGCTTATTTATTCATAAAATCTACCAACCCTGTTTCTTAGGGACAAGCTGACGAACCTCACCCGTAAATCGAAGGGGGAGAATTTATATCTTTAACGGTTTTAACAGGGATGAAATTATTGATTTATTTTGATTTAATAATTTTGCCACAATATCATTACAGAAGAAAAAAAAAATAAAAAAAAATAAAATATATATATGACGAAGAAAATATTGTGGCGAGGAAACCCAAGTAGAAGCCAAATGGCTTATTAGATTTTGGGTTACCTTATCACAGAATCAACTATTTTGTAAACAAAATATATGAACAGCACACAAGATGTAAAATACAAGAGAATACACAAGTACGATAGTATAACATAATGGCGGAAATTTTAAAGTACATAAAATTAAGATATCAGATATATTAAGGAACCACAGTTCGTAAGAGAATTATAATATTAGATACTATTAGTAAGAAGCCAAAAAGTAATATTTTAACTTGGACTGAAACGATGAGAGTGAAGGGGAGTTACGAATGTATGGATTCAGTGAATTAAAAAAATTGGGTCCTTGGTAATTTATAGTGAACTGTTTAGTCTTGGTTCTACAGTAAGGAATATAAAATTGACCAGCACTACGTAAGTTACGGGTGTGAATTTGATTAGTTAATGGAAAAGAATTGTTAAAACTTTGTGGAAGGAGATTATTTTTATAAGAAAACATAAACTTACCCAAATTCAATAGATATATATCTTTAAATTTGAGTAAATTTAACGATTTGAAAAGGGGTGATGTATGTGCATCAAAAGATACATTATTTAAAATTCTGCATGATTACTTTTTTCTGAAGTAACGTAAGACGATTGAGATTAGTAGGATATGTCGAGCCCCAAATCGTAACACAATAATTAAAATAAGGGTAAACAAGCGTAAAATATAAAGTACGCAAGGCAGACTTGGTAAGACAGAAGCTTGATTTGTATATGATCCCAATGGATTTTGATACTTTACTTGCAATATGAGAAATATGAGACTTCCAGGACAAATGTTCATCCAAAATTACACCGAGAAAAGTAATCTCTTTAACTCTTACTAAATAGTGATTGTTTATTTTAACGGACAAATCAAGCATCTGTTTCCTTTGCCGAGGAGTAAAAATTATAAAGTTAGACTTTTTAAGGTTAATAGACAATCTGTTGGAAAAGAACCACTCTGATAGATTCTTCATTTCGCTATTGATGACATTAATTAAGGCAGGTAATTCACTATGGGAATGGAATACATTGGTGTCATCAGCGAACAAGATGAATTCAAAAATTTTGGAGGCATGACTTATGTCATTGATATAAATAAGAAATAATAGAGGTCCAAGAATTGACCCTTGAGGGACACCACATTTAGGGGCTGTTTACATGAGCCCGGTTACCCGAGATTCGACGAAGCGTGAGATGATGTTGAGGTATTGAAATGAGCAGATGACATTGTCCTGGCAGTCGTATAATCACCTTAACAATAGCATGTGCTTGTTTTGTGTCATAAAGACTTATTTCAATACCTCAAAGTCCTCTCACGCTTCGTTGAATCTCGGGTAACCGGGCTCATGTAAACAGCCCCTTAATATTATTCCATACGGAATTAATACCATTATATTCAACATATTGTTGTCTATTCGTAAAATAACTTTTCATCCAATCAAGGGCCAATCCTCGTATGCCATAATGCTCCAACTTTAGAAAAAGAATTTCGTGGTCGACAGTATCAAAAGCCTTGGAAAGGTCTAGAAATATTCCAATAGTAAACTTTTTTCATCAAATGCGGTTGCAATTTTGTTTACCAAATTGATTAAAGCATGCGAGGTAGAATGATTTTTTCTAAAACCATATTGATTATGGAACAATATATTCTGCTCATTTAGGTAATGCAACAGACGATTGTAAACAACCTTTTCAAGCACTTTAGAGAATACCGGTAAAATTGAAATAGGCCTATAGTTTGAAAACAAGTTATCCTCACCAGATTTGAATATTGGTAAAACCCGTGCAAATTTCATCTGGTCAGGAACAATACCAGATTGAATTGATAAATTGACAATATGAGTCAATGGTTGAGAAATTAGATCAATAGAATCTTTTAGGGACCACATAGGAATATTGTCATAACCTCCTGCAATCCCTGAACGTAATGAACGAACTATTTCAATTATCTCCGATTCATCAGCACAGTTGAGAAACAACGGGTTTGCAAAATTACCAGATAAATAACACGTGGGTGATTGCGTTGAGGAAGGTATGTTTTTGGATAGGTTCGGGCCGATGTTAGTAAAATAGTCACAAAACCTATTGGCAATATCTAAAGGATTTGTAACATTTGAATTGTTATCAATAAAGGTTGATGGCAAAGAGGTACTACGCCTTTTCTTATTAATAACTTCATTAATAACTTTCCACGTTGCTTTAATATTGGCTTTATTGGATTCCAGCTTCTTTTCATAATATAGGCGTTTAGCGGTGCGTAATATGCGGGTTAATCTATTCTTGTACTTTTTGTACCTGTCTTCATTGAAAGGAGTTGGAAAACTTAATAATTTCTTGTATAACTTGCTTTTTTTCTTTATGGACTTCAAAATACCACTGGATAGCCAAGGCTTATTATTAAATCTTGCCGCTTTTAATCTTTTTACTGGAAAAGAGGTATTATATATTTGCATAAAGGCATGATAGAAGCTGGCATATGCATGTTTGGGGTCATCATATCCAGGAATATCAGACCATCTATGGTTTTTAAGTAGGTCTTGAAATTTTAATAAGTTTGTCTTGCTCCTATCGCGAAAAGTTACATAAGCATCGCCATGATTTACCACTGACTGATCACGAAAAAAGCCAAAAATTGGTAAATGGTCTGAAATGTCGGTGAATAATAGTCCACTAAATGAGTATGAGTCCAAATTATTTGTAAATATGTTATCAATAAGGGTAGCGGAATTAGATGTAATGCGGGTAGGCCGTGTTATTGATGGAAAGAACATATTAGAGTACATAATATCGAGGAATTCACCGGTACGTTGATGGCTATGATAATTTAATAGATTCAAATTAAAATCGCCCATTATGTAGCACACTTTGTTTTCTTTAGAAATGGAGGAGATTAGTTTGTCAGTATTATTAATAAACTCATCAACATTTTCATTGGGAGGCCTGTATATTACTCCAACAATAATGTTTTTTCCCTTGGGATTCGGGATTTCAAGAAATAAACTTTCAGCACATGCTGTATTGGCAAAGACAAGGTCGGAACGTAATTTAAATTCGAACTCGTTAGCTAAATAAAGACCAACGCCGCCTCCTATTTTATTGGGCCTATAGTTATGAACAAAGTTGAACCCGTCAACACTAACAAAGTGGTCGTCATGGCGAAGCCAGGTTTCGGAAATACCAATAATAGAAAAGTTGTGTTTGATAATGGCAAGCGAATTTGATAAATTCTCAAGATTCCTGGGTAAACTTCTAATGTTTAGATGGAGGATCGAAAAACAGTTATTGTTTGGTATCTCTACCTTGGTAGACAATAAATCACTTAGTTTATGTTCAGTGTAGTAGTCGCAGCTATGGGATACTTTAGAATAAAAATTAGTATCGGCATCTAAGTCACCCCATATGGCAAGATTATTATTGTGGTCAAATAGCAACGGGTTAAATACCAGTGAGGATAACCTGTCCTCATCAAATCGTACCGAACCATTTTCAAACTCGTATAATACCATGTTAAATTCGTCATCATCAAGATGACTAAAAGGCAAGTTGAGCATATCAGACATATTGAACCAATAAATTACACACTATACAAACTTATCTTGAGTCCATAAGTGATGTTGTCATCGATGAGAACTGAGTCCAGCTTTGAATTGATCAAAGTTTTTTTTTGACGTGAAGGAGAATACTTGTGAAGAAGGAGTGGCATCTTTCTTAAGGAAAACTTTACCAAATTTCGTCCAGACATATTTATAGTGATTCTCCCGTTTATACTCTTTGACTGCCCATAACAAGTCTCTACCTTTCTGCGTCAGGCTTTCGTTGATATAAATACGAGATTCTTCAGGGAAACCGAGGTCAGCTGAGGTTTTCGTAAACAGGTTACGCCTCAATTTGTAAACTTTATCTCTGGTGTCTCTTCGGACAAATTTAACTATAATAGCTGGGATTTGACCTTGGCGGGAGGGTAAACGGTGACTGATTGAGATGTCGTCTTGCTTCAGTGCGGATGTATGATCAGCGAGCTTAGCAATGTTTAAAATAATATCGTTCGTATTTTCGCCCTCAGTGACAGGAATACCGTGAATTTCTAGCATATCTCTTCGGATATATTGCTTTAGGCTTTCTAATTCATCTTCAGATGCATCAGCTTTCTGTTGTAGGCTCTTCATTTGATCAGTTAACTGAGCGTTACATGTGCGTAGGTCGTTGTTTTCGGCTCGAAGCTCATTCACTGATGTAGCTAAGGAATCAAATTTAGAACTTAAAAAGTCCTGACTTTGTTTTATTTCATCCAAGTCGCTTTTTGTAGATTTCGAGAACTTTAAGAATAGATTATTCAAATGGTCAGACTGTTTGTTCAGGCGACTATCTAGGATTGCTTCGAGAGTTGCTTTCTCATTCGTCGATTCCGTAACTTCGGCACTGATTTCGCCATCAGGATTCTCTGGTTTTGAAGTATTCTTGATCTTCTTAGGTGGCATTAGTTGGACAGAAGCAAAAGACTAATAGGTTGTATGGATATCTCTGACTTTAATACAATAGTTTAGGGAATAAAATTCGAGCATTAGGCGGAGCACTAAAAGGCACGTCCGCTTGGCTTGACTGGAAAAGTTCACGGCTGACAGGAAAAGTCTTTCCATTTAGACCAGTATTCGACATTATCATCCGAGAAGCTGTTCCTAAATGGAACATTGGACAAGCTTTTACTCGACGTTTGATATTCCTAGCTCGTTTAAATTTAAGTTTGATCTGAAATTCGATGATATGATGATCGGTTGGAAATTCGTTTTGTTCGGGAGTAGATGTTTCAACATTCGTAATAATTTCAGGACAGTTACATAGAAGAAGGTCTAGTTTATTGCCACAGTTGTGTGTAGGGCCAACAACAAATTGACCTCCGGCCGTAGTAGGGAATTGTTCATCGAACGTGGTCCAGTCAAGTGGGGAAGATTGAAGTCTCCTGCCAACACAATACAGCTAGATTCGTTTGTATCCTGAAGTGATAAATTAAGGTGATGAAAAACTTCGGGGCCTGAAGCAGGGGGACGATAAAAAGTATACATGCAGGATTACAGGTTTGCTGTTCGTGTTTTTAAATTCAACTACAACGAGTTCAATTTCGTTTCGTTCGAGATCTAGCCGTCGAGTCGCATGTAGGTGTGATTTCACGGCAACAAGCACTCCGACTTTTTTAAATCTATCTCGGCGAAAGACACTATATCCAGGCAACAGCTGGCTGCTTATAATTCAGTCGTTGAGCCATGTTTGCAAATGCAGATGATGTCATAAGACCCATTATATATGAACTAGTTCCTGTAGGAAAGGCACAAAAGCTTTAAGACTTCGCGCGTTTAGGTAGATGACATTAAGCTCATTCCTTATGCGAACAGTCGAAGTTCCAGGTCCAAGATTTGTAGCCACGTCTCGATCCAGATAATAAGATTAACAGAAACAAGTGTAGATTATTATTCCTTCTTTTAAACTCCAGACCATGCAATAACGATATTTACGAGACATTGTGCATTTTCTTAATACAACTATCACGTGTAGATGTCGAAATATAGCACAATCTGTCCGGTATTGATGTTAGTTGGTTTTTATCGGTCTAAATGCGAATTTAAGACGAGTTTCGCTTCCAGACGGGACTCCCGTCCAACTTCCGTCTGTTTAGACGAGAAAATTCGGCAGATAAACCCGTCTGTGATTTACATCGGACGAGTTTTCCCTCTTTCATAAGTTTCCCCTCTTTCATAAGTTTCCCGTGTAAGACGAGTTTCCCGTCTCCAATAATAATATGAATTCAGCCTAAATGTGTATAACGTGTGTAGTCATAAGGCAATCAGCACTAGGTCTGAAATCGCAAATGAAGCAAATATCCAGTTAAACAGACATTGACTATTTATTTCAAGACTTTGTTGTATAAAAATTCGGAATAACTAATAAGATAAATCCGACGAGTTTCTAAAATATCAGCACGGTCAAGGACGGAACAAGGCTAAGGGAAACTATGAAACGTATTCAGTTTTACTCTGCACTAATCTACCCACATTTATTATACTGTTGTACACTCTGGGGAAACGCAAATAAAGAACTAATAACGTACCTACTAAAACTACAGAAACGAGCTGCAAGACTAATTCTTGAATTACCAACCGAAGTACCCTCAATATTACTTTTCCGCCAACTTAATTGGATACCTATCTTCAACTTGATAAAAATGAGAAAAATTCTTATGGTTTTCAATACTTTAAAAACTTCTTGGCCACCAGATCTTCGAAGGTTGTTTGTTTACGTTCACGACACTCTCGACAGACTTAAAGATCCCTTTAGTCAAGACCGAGCAGGCTAAATCTAAGATATCTTCCGCATATAACTACTAACTTACTGGGAAGATAATGCTCCTTTGAAGTTTGCTTAAGGGACTTAATACCTGTGCATGATATTTTAGCAACAACAAAAGTGGTTGTTATTAGGTAAAAGCTACGAATAAGGTACAGTTATCAGCGCGTTTTAGAAAATAAAATTAATCATCATCATCATCATCATCATCAAAAATACTTACAAAGTCATTAAAATCATTAATTTATGTACAATCCTTCGAAAAAAGGTTGATTAAAAACTATAGCCATTAGGCAAAAGACCTCGTAGTCAAGTGGCGAAGACATGCAATCGTCCCTAAAGTGACACCGCGGAAATTGGTAGACTTAGCCGTAATTCTCAATACTTAGACTTTAAATTCGGCAAGCTAAAAGATTTATAAATACTCAACAAAATATTTCTTGCACAAAAGATTTGAAGCTTGCACACGGTAAAAACAAATCATCTGAAAATGTCTCAAAATGGCCATTTTACGGTGGCAGATGCATACGAAGAGCCTTCAAAAGTTTCCAAAACCGATATTGGAAGAAAAATTGAACTTGTTTTCCACTTATTTGATAGTATTTTCTTTGACAGCAGTTTCTGAATACTAGGATTCAAATGTGAGCAACTGATGAGATATTTGACTTTCAACACCAATTTCTGCGGTGTCCCCTAAAGTGGTACACCTTTTGCCCGGCATTAAACATAAACAATTACTCAATAAAATTGTGCGGCACACCAACAAAACTTTGGAATATTCATTTAAACGAACAGAACATCATTTAAACATTTATGAAATTTCAATTAGATTAACATTTATTAAATTTCAATCACATGAAATGTTCATGGAAGTACAAAGGTTAATTTCAATAGAATTTACACAAGTTCAATAAATATAAACAAACAGTCAATACGAACAAAAAGATATGCATTCAGTACACGTTTAGGAAACACAACGAAAAAAAATTACACTAGACATACATATTTATTCATGTAGAGAAAATATGTATGGGCATATTAACCTTCAATGAAATTGCCGTTCATACATCGAGGTAAGTAAGTTTGCATGTGTCTGAACCACGCATTGCATTTTCTGATTGTTATTGTGTCCATGTGCCTTTTAGCAGCAGCTAACAAAACTCGTTTCCTGTACTCTCCCAACAGAATACGTTCTTGACGCGCCATCTCTCTGCTATTTATCTGTAATTGGATTTCAGGTCTTGCAATATCGTTTTTGATTGAAACTTTCAACGTACTTATGGCATTCTCGACGATGTTTCTCGACCACCAACTTACGTTGGGAGACCATTGCCTTCGCCAATAGACTACGAGATCCTCTGCTGAACGGCTATAGTTTTTAAATAACTTTATCCTTTTCTCGAAAGACATATTGAAAAACAGGTATGCTTGGACCCGAAGCCCCAGTTTGCAACTCCGGAGTACATTGCATCCCCACTAGACCAACAGAACTTGTGGCGAATTACTGCACTATTTTATTTTATTCAACCTTTTGTCGAAGGATGCTACATAAATTAATGATCTCAATGAGTTTATTTTGATCATGATTTATGTTCTTATTTAAAACGCACATAACTGTACCTTATAAAGTTATATTCGTAACTTTAACGTAATATCAACCATTTGCTTGGACGCTAAAATTTCATGGGATTGGAATCTCTTCAACAAAGAAAAATTACCTGAACAAGTTAGTTATATGTGGCCCAGGTGAAGCTAATGGTTACGGTGCAATTATATTGTTTACTGTCAATGAAGTCAAGTCTGATTTTACAGGTCGCCGGTATTTGATTTGGCAGATTCATTGGAATGTTTGATTATTCGCAGCTAATTTCACAGCTGAAATTGTATAAACTCCAATATAAGGCAATACATATTAAATAACTCAACTTCTCATAATCTCCGTTAAACATAAAAAATATTGTCACGTTTTCCCTAAATGGTAAGGTAGTTTTCGATATTTGCGAGGAGCTAAAAACTAGAGCGCCGTAGTCAAACTTGATAGAGTAGCCTCTTCCCTCGAAACAGCCGACAGGAGAGCGAGAACCGATAGATTCGCGGGTCACACAGTGGATGCGACTCTAAGTCCAAAAGCCGAAGACTTAGCATTATTTAACATTGCTCTATGTGGTGATTGTGGGATTATTATTCGTTCACTGCGACTGCGCGGGGTTTCTTTATACTAAAATTGACTTTTTATCGCTTTCCAATAGCGTTTAAGTATACGTTCAACAACCGTAAAGTGTCCTTTTTCACTCACTGCATTTACTATAAGTAAAGCTAAAACAGGTTGATTGAGTTAAGAATTGAAGTGAATAAAGAACATTTAAAATTTTGTTGATTTAATGCAATAGTGCACATATTGGGGGGATAAGCACGTGCGCACATCACAAACGTAGATAATTAAAGATAGCACACGTAAATGCACGACGCATGTCTTCAAAATTTCTAATTAGCATAAAAAAAGAAAGTTTTTAAAGGATTAGCTACTAGAGCATCAGCCCTTGGTGTTAAAGGCTACATTTATTTATTTTTACCTAAAAATGCAGGCTTCTTTTCAAAGTCGTCTATTATATTCCCCGAGCCGGTGTGGAGCACCGTGCGAGGATACTAATTCCGCCCGGAGATTAGGAATTACACCCGGGTATTCTGACAGAACATAGGCGAATCCAAAGTTGCCCAAATGTCATGTAGGTAGTTGTGCGCATGCGCAAAATTTTGAATGAAGAAAGAACAGTCGTCTACAACTTGCTGGTTGGCTAAGACAAAAAGAGAGCATGCATGAGAGCGTCAGCATTTTATATTTTTTAACCGTCATTTTGCAAACTATTTTTTTAAAATATAAAATGAAATCATGGAATCAAATATCAAAACAATGATAAAAAGATTTAAAAATCATCACAGCACAGAAACAGTTGGTGAAATAGGAACGACTCGTAGTTTATAATCTTTGAAGTGGTAGGTGTCTACATTTTACTTATTTAGTGTTTGATGTAAGAATGCATTGTTATTTTGACAAGTACGAGCTTGATATGTCATTTTACAAGGAGCTAACCGGACCGTTTAAGGCTTTACATCATCGCTTAAACTTTAAAAAGAGTTCTCAAAAGTGTACTTCAGAGTTTTGATAAAACAAATATCACTTTGCAGCTTATATAGTTGCTAAAATCATTGAATAAAATAAATAATCGAAAAACAACATTCGACGTTTAGTGTTTGTATGGTTATTATAATTATTTGTGCTGTTTTGATGTTTTGAAGGTTTAGCTATAGAAAAGTTTAACACTCACTTAAACTGCAACGTATAATGCAGCAGGCAAACAGGTGATTTCTGTTCACCTTTACGACTGTCTTTGTTTCCGAAAAATTTGCACGAGTTATTTCATAATATTAGCGTAGAAAGTTAGGTCTGGGTAGTGCACGAAATATTTTGCTACGTTTAAAATGGCGAGGGGTTGCTGCATGCATGTATTTCTAGTATATTATATATTCGTCTCATTCGAATCAACGGCCTAAAAGTTACGAGACCATTGACTTCACCCAGTGGACTAAGACCAATAGGACAAGAATTTGACCGTTAAAATGCATGGTTATCCATATCAAAATATTTGATTTCATAAAGCATGGTTATATTGTTTAATGTTTCTATATGGGCACGAAACAAGCTAGCAACTTTACATAGGACAAGCATTTGACCATCAAAACAACGTGATTATCCATATCAAAATATTTCACATCATAACCAAAGCATGGTTATATTGTTTAATGTTTGAACATGGGCACGAAACATGCTTGCAACTTTACATAACACAAGCATTTGACCATTTAATCAGCATGGTTTCCCATGTCAAAATATTTGACATCATAACCAAAGCTGCAAAGCATGTTTAATGTTGTATATGAGCACGAAACATGCTTGCAGCTTTACATAGGACAAGCATTTGACCACTAAAACAGCGTGGTTATCCATGTCAAGATATTTGACATCATAACCAAAGCATGGTTATATTGTTTAATGTTTGTATATGAGCGCCAAACATGCTGGAAACTTTACATAGGACCAGAATTAGACCATTTATAGCCTTCCACCGCGACCACCATTTCTGGCGGTGTATATATTCAAGTTCAATATAATATAATTCTTTACCTGTTTTAATACCGTAGTTCAATATAATTGAACTACGGTATTAAAACCGGTGAAGAAACACGGAATGTGGCAGAGATTGCAGCACTTAACTTACAAATTTGTATTTTAATATATTTTAATAAAATTTGTAAGTTTCTAAAAAAGTTTCAGAGTTCGCGTCCATTAGGCATTAGTATTGCTTAATTAAGTAAAAAATTCCTACCCTCTGAGACGGCGGACTGACTAACTCAAGGGCGATAAGTTTTTCATTTTCATAAGTTTTTCATTTCCATAAAAAATCCATCCCACTTGCCTTTATATCAAAATCTCCATAAAATATGGAGTGAAAACCCTGAAAAAAGCAGAAGCTAACTTCGAAATTTAATCCTTTGATGCTGAGAGCGATTTAAAAGGCATGCTTCCACTCTTTGCCTAGTCTTTCCCTGACATGGCTAACACAGTCATTAAACACAGTTAATTGTAACACAGTCATTTTAATTATAATTACAATTGACTTGTAATTATATACATATATAATAGCATGACGTAACAGCATTGACCGGGCTGCTGTGCTCGGACATCGTGAATGAGTGAACATCCGGGACTTGAATTTGCCCCCCATTAACGCGCTCCCCAATTTCTCCTCGATGCCCCCTCTAGTTTTATTTATAATCTCTATGACATTCACTGCCAAGCCCAGTCTACAGCGCGGTCATATTGAACATGGCCGCCAATTAGAGATTGTTGCATTTGTTGCATAAGATTGTTGTATTATTGGTTCAAAATCAGTGGTTCAAAAGCAGGGAATCATGATTTTGTGTGACATATAGTGTGATCATAGTATTATATCGCTATATTTTTAAAGATATGCATTCGAGTCTCGCTCCTCATCTGCATGAAGAATGTTTAGAAGTAATTGATATGTTAAAAGCTTGTCATGAAGAGGTAATTTGGAAATATCCAAGGACCGAGATCAATAGTTATTCAAATATACTGTCATTAAGTGTCATATTTAATATCGAAAATGTCAGATATACTTCAAACATGTTTTACTTCGGAAAAAATCGTAATCATATCCATGCATTCTAAGTATATTCGCTGTGATGATGCACCAAGGAACAATAAACTTTCTAATTAATATTAGTATATTACTATTATACTAGCCAATGCTACATAATTTAGGCAGATTTAGCATGAGGACGTGAACCTCAAAGAAGACATGAAAATGACGATGAGACAGATTTAGCACAACCAGCATAAGATTCAAGACCAAGTGTCTGTGTGTATGGGAAGGATTTAATTAATCTGAACATCTCAAAAATATACATATACCTGACATATCAGCATGGTTGCAACCTTTGGTTTTTACAACACATATCAAGTTTTAAAAGGAATTTAGATTTACTGGGTTCAGTAGGTTGGGGGGTTCAGGGGAGTGTGCCTCACCTAGTCTAGTTCCAGAAGGTTGCAGATGGGGTGCAAATTGGTTATCGATTTAATTTAGGGTAAATTGTGTATGAAAATCAGTACCCAATTATAAGTACATGTATTTTGGTGTATTTGAAAGTTCAGAGTCTTTTAAGGGGCTGATAATCCAGGTACATGTATAGGCTGACAATCAATCTACCTCATTTTTATAATTTATTGAGTAAACATACATTAATTCATTCTCAAATCTGTTACAACTGATGCTTGAGTCAGGATTGGGAAGGGAGGTCATGTGATTTTTGCCAACTTTCTATCCAAGTTAGGACTTACTGGCTAACAAAATATTTCAAGTTTAATACAAAATTATATACAATACTGTTATAATTTGGATATAGCCTGATCCATTTCAAAGTTATGCTTACATAACATTCTGTTAGCTAAATGGCATAGGTGTAGGAAATTTATCTACATTAGAGAGGGACATGTTTTGCCATGGTTGATGCAGAGAGGAACTTTTTCCAATTCCAAACCTATAATCCAGCATGTGTTGCATAATTTGACAAATCCCTCAAATTTCATGTTGTATTTTTGTTCCACCAATAACAAAGCATTTCAGCAAACATTTTAACATTGCAAATTATTCGAGAGGTGTCACATTCTCCCAACACTTCACCCCCAGGGGCATTGCAACTTGAGTTGTGTGTGGAAAGTAGTAAGAGCTGCTCTTGCCAATTATGAATTTTTTATTTACTTTTATTTCTCTTTATATAAATTTTCACTAATTTCTTAACTAGTTGTCTTTCTGTTATTTTAAGCATTCTGTTGGGAAATTCTTTGGCATGTGCAATGAATTGAAATTGCAATTAAGAAAGTGTTTAATAAATGAGGTAAGCTGTTAAGTTATTTTTGTTGACAGGGGACTATAGATTAGAATCCGTGTTTACAATTAACACCCAACCTCATCTTACAGTAATTTGCACCTTGAGAATTGTTCGTTTTTTTTTTATACAGAGAGAAAAAAAAAGAAGAGCTAATGCAGAAAAGGCTCTACAGACCAAAGAATTATGGGAGAAAAAATACAATGAGAACAATATCAACGAAGATGGTCTCTGAAAAGAAATGGTGTGGAAAACGTTTTGAAAAAAAAGCTTCCATTTAGATTTTATTCCTTAAAATATCTTTTGTAGAGTTTATATTGAAGATTTCGTAGTTAATATTTGTACCTATACAACTTTATCAATTATAGCAGTCGTTGTGCACGCAATGGTGTGTTAAATGATACACGATTTCATAAAGGTTTACGAATTAGGTGCTTAGTGCAGACACCTATTATTAATCGATTCACAAAAACCAGTGATTGTGTATAATTATATTATATTGTGTAATTAAGTATAAATAATTCTGTAATGAAATCCCAACACGAAGCTTGTGTAGCGTTTTAAGCCCCTTACAGACAAGCAAGTTTTCTATGACAAGTTTTTATAAATGTGACAAGTTTTAATTGTTCGTTTGTACGCCCAACTTTGACAATTTTTTCTATAACAAGTACACTTGTTCAAAATGAAGTGTGTACTTGTCATAGAAAAAATTGTCGAAGTACAAATTTCGCTCGTGTGTATGAGTCAACTTGTCAAAGTAATGTGAGCACTTGTATGAGCGGACTACAGTGGAAGCTAGCATACTAGCTCTACGTTTGACTGATTTGGTGATAAAAAACTGCTCAGGTCATAAGAGGGTTTGTGGGATCTCTTATATATTTATATTTGGCATTTATATTAGGCATCGCTGTTGTACTTGTGCTGCGGAGGAGACTAGGCAAACATCTCTCGCACACTTTTTTCAATTTCCTCGCTTCCCCGACACAGCTAACCCATGCCTAAAGTCCGGCGCACACGTGAGCTATTATAATTAGCTGAGCAAATGACCACGTGTGCCGTTATCTTAGCTGATTACTCACGTGTGCGGACAGTTTTTGCTGCGGAATATGACACGCGTGATCGTGAGGAAAATTTCTATCGTGTTTGATTTTTTTGTCCACGCGTGGAAAAAATCTCAACGTTTGCGGATATTTTTGAGCTAAATGCTGAGCTCTGAATATGCATTAGCCAATAAGAATATTTATTATATGGCACGCGGTCTCGTGACTAAAATGGCGTGCGCTGATTGGTTCTTTGCAGGTCTGGAACACTGAGCTATATAATAATATAACTCAGTGGTCTGGAATCCCTCAGTATTAGACCGTTGCCGTGGTAACAGTCCAACTCTCATATTTCTTGCACTTTTATTTTTGACACGAAAAATATCGACGAAGAGTGGACGAAGAAGAGCATTATTTGGTACATGTGAATATTAGATTTATTCATCTTTGATTTTTGTTTATATTACTGTATCATTCTTATTTAACGAGTAAAAAACAAAGTTTTGGAAGCCGCTTCAGTGCTGCTTGGCGACTGGCTGGCGAAAGAGCCGGCAAGAATGCAGCAGCGCATTGTATAAATTAATAAACTAAATACTGTATGCCATATAATAAATCCCTTATTAACCGAATACGTTCGGTCCGTACTGGAAAAATATCAGTTCGGTCGGTCTTTTATGTACGGACCTCGCTATCGCTCGGTTCGTACTGTCAAGACCTCGGTCTGACATTTTTCTAGTACGGACCTCAAATTCGGTTAATAAGTGGTATGTATTTTCCACACGTGGCAATGACAATATGGCGGCTGAAGCTATTGCAGAAGAGAAGTTGAATAAATGGTCCAATCATGCTTAGAACTTCTTTAAAAGAATTTACATGCAAGCGGTGATATCGCCTGAATGACTCTGGATCTTCACCCTCTAGTTCTCGATGAAGATTGGCATGAACACCATGTCCTCGGCGTTTCTGTATCCATGGTTTGGTCCATGTTGTTCTGCATGCAACTCTTAAACGGCGGCGACGACGCCGCATCAATAAAATTAAAAGAAAGGCAATTCGACGGAGATTTATGTTTGCTGCTATTTTGAAATTAGCGCGAAGTAAACTATCTGCTTAGTACTTTAGCTCAGCCAATAGCTCACGTGTGCGCCGGGCTTAATACAGTATACAGGATGTATCAAAAAAGGTAATCCAACTTCAACACGCTATTGTACGTGAACTACCCAGTCTATGAACGAATTTTTTTCACATTCGGAAAGATCAGGCTTTAGCTATGGGATGACATGTTTTTAGTACCAAATGGTGAAAAAATGAGCACATACGAGGCTGATAAAAAATGTTAGTCACAATCGCATATTTATAACTTTGAGCCTAATTAAAGCAGTGCATAACAAAAGAAAGAAACTATTAATCACGAACATGTCACAGCTTGCATTGATTTTACAACATGTTTATTGCAATTATTTACTTTTAAAAAGAGATTATGCGCCGATGCCTTCAACTTGAACAACCGCGGCTCGTACCCAGGGTCTATAAAGACCCTGGGTACGAGGTTGCAACTTGAACACCAACTCTATCGATACAAAGTTGACATCGCCGCCGCATAGCTTGGAATGTTCTCCTGAGGTGGTTTATTCCTACTTAATATATGCATATTAAGTAGGAATAAACCACATCAGGAGAACATTCCAAGCAAGCATATGCATAGTGCGGGAAGTTTATTCAAAATCAAAATTCTTCAATTAAGTCCCAAAGGGAGTTAATTTTCAATGGTTTTAGTCCCAACTCTCATAGGTAAAATATGCGATTTTGATTTTTTATCAGCCTCCTATTTGCTCATTTTTTCACCATTTTCTATTAAAAACATGTCATTCGATAGTTAAAAGCCTAACCTTTTTGAATGTGAAAAAATTTCGTTGATAGAATGAGTAGTTTACCTACAATAGCGCGCCAAAGTTGGATTGCCTTTTTTTTTATACACCCTGTATAAATGTCTAATATAAATACATGCTATGGATTAACCTGGTGGACTTGGATACGTGAAGTATAAATAATTATGGTCACGTGTGTAGCAATGGTCATTTTCGTGTGTAGCAACCATTGAGCTGTATAATAAATCTGGAATAATAATATGTTGGAATTGTATTATATTCCCACAGCTCATTCCGCCACACAATAGCCGAGATGAAGAGGAGCTAAGAATGGGGACAAAATAATTTCAGCTCGGCTATGAGGGCGGAAGGAGAGGCTGTCGCGTCTGAGGGGAGGTGGGTGGGTCGAAAGAAAAAACCCTTCTAAGCCTTGTGTATACCTTCTTTCCAACGTCGAAATGCGAAAAACTCGGTTTTGCTTGCTCTATTTAATTGCTTTGTGCTATCACATGATAGCCACACCTCTCTATTAGCCATGTGATGAATTTGCCGTCTTAATTCGCCCATTGTGTGGCAGAATTCCCAATGGGAATAGTATTATATTCCCACAGCTCATTCCGCCACACAATAGCCGAGATGAAGAGGAGCTAAGAATGGGGACAAAATAATTTCAGGCTTTGCTTTATGGGGCTTTATTGGTAGAGAATGGAAAAAATATTACAACATTTGCAAACGCGAAGATTTCCCCTTCTCCCATACTCAGGGAAAAGAAAGGGAAAAAGGTGAGAGTTATAAAGACGAAAATATGGCATTACGTGAAATTGTTCAAAGGGTTATGGAAATGCGAGAGACATATTGACCAAATTGTTGCGGGCTCGAAAAGATGTGCCGATGGCAGAGGCATGTGGAATGGGGACTTGTGACGATGTAGCTTCGGTAAGAAGTGTGGTGGTCGTAGAGGGATGTAAAACTTGGTGAGTGTTGGAGTAATACCGGGCTGTGGAGGTGGACTTCCATCCGACATGTTGAGCAATATCCTGATCAGAAAAGCCGAGAAGGGACAAGGTGATCGAGCAACCGGAGCGGAAGCTGTGTGCGGTTTCACCGTCATTAATGTGTAGGGTGGTAAGGTGGAGGTGAAGGCGATTACCTACGGCGGAGCCTTGGAATGGGTGTTCGGTGATGTGGCCGGAGTTGTTGACGGTGCGAAAGAGGTACCCACGACGGAGGTTGATTTCCATAGCGTCGGAAAGACAAGATTTGTGTGGAATGACAATTTATTAGTAAGACAGTCGACAAGATAACAAACGCACACTAAATATATAGGTATATAGGTGTAAGCATATGGATATGTAAGCGTATACTAAATAGAAAAGACGAGATCTGTTCATAAGTTAATGATATATCAATTAGATCTTTATTCTACACGTTAAACCCGTTGGTATGTTATCTGCAGGAGAATCACCGGCGGCGGGGAACTAGACAGTTTCGGACAAAATGACCGGTGCTACGGCAATTAAAGCACCGCGGAGGTGAGCTTGCCATATATAGACGAGGTCGACCGAGGACTGGATGCCGGAACGGTGGAAAAGCAGGAGCGCGCATACGAGGTGGAAGGGGATAGGGAGTGGACACGTATGACTTTGGGGGTGCAGTTTCTAGTGACTTTTCAATTATTTTGGCGACGGCAATTTCGTCTTTGTCGCCAACCAACTTAAGGAGAATGGACTGGAGTTGAGGGTGGTCTTGTAAACGTCGAGTCTGTTTAAAGATGGTATTGTACCGATGCGCATTTACATCATTGTTTTCACGGGCGACATCTACCAGGTTCTCCAGGGCAGCTAAGGCCACGAAAGGGTCAAAAACGCCAACCGGTTTTATAAGCTCTTGTCGTAAATGAGAAGCGGCGGCTGCCGCTGTATGAGTATTCGATTGTGCGAGGAGCTGGTTTACTTGGGCCTGCAGGCCGTCCAGGGTGACGGGCTAAACGGGAGGGCCAAATTACGAAGGTTAGAAATGTTTTTTCTTTTTTTTAAACGACTGCCGCTACAAACCGGCGGTAGACCCGGTCGTATATGAGGATGAGGCCTTCAGCTAGACGTATCTTCCTCAAATCAGTGACGACGTGTAAACCTGTCGTAAGTTTGGTATCTACATGAGGCGTGAATGGCTGACAATGTAGGTGTGCGAGTATAAATGGTTGATCCCGGTCGAACATATGGTCTTTTGGGTGGGGGTTTACTGCCTGTACTGAAGTGAGAACCCCGTCGTAGACAGTGGTATGAGGCTTTTCGCTTAGACTTGCCCCTCTCAAATCAGTATAAAACATGTAAACCCCTACCGCCATTTTTTTTTCTTTTTTGTATAGGGTAGGATGAGCGGTAAGTAAATTACAATCTCATAGCACACTATAGCTACGAAATGGCACGCTCACCCAGTAGTTGGGGTATATGAAAAAATAAGCAAAGTGAATAACTTCATCACGCACTGTGGTTATGGAAGAATGCCTCTCACAGACTCACACAGTGGTTAGACTATATGAAATAGGCGCGGTAAATAGGTAACTTCATCTCACACTGTGGCTATGAAACGACACCTCTCACACAGTGGTTAGAGAATAGAGAATATAAGCAGTAAA